GGTTGTTGATCACGTGACTCCTGTGATGTGAAAAAAGTGTTTCCATTGCAGTTTTGCGAAAAACACCAATTTCGATACGACCGAAAAACCACCTCATCCTAGAGCAAAAAATTTTTGTCGAAAAACATAATTTTTTTTAATTGACGTGTTTCCATTGAGCAAATTTATTTTCGAAATTCTAATTTGCGCATTTTCATGGTCAATGGAAACGCAGGTTATGATTGTTACAAATTTGAACTGTGATCTACAATAGTATGAATCCAAAAAACAAAACAAACAAAAAACAAAAAAAACAAACAAAAAAAAACTATCAGAGAGCTCACCTCCTGCGTTGGTGATAGTGACAGGAACTCCCTGAACTTGGACACCGTTGATGCTGATCGTCTGCATTGCTTGTGCTGCGGAGGACAGCTGCGACGTATTGAATGCAATCATTCCACCTGCTGGGGCTATTTTTGCCAGAGTGCGCTCCTTTCGGCCCCCCGCCTGCGTCCTCCTGGTGTTAGCAGGTGATGACATGGTTGTAGGGGCAACTGAGGTGGCAGGGGTCGTTGTCGTTGAGCCAGAGTCCTGAAGATGAACTGACTGCCACTCGCCCGAAGATGTTTTGAAGAGAATCTGAGGAGAAAAGTAAAAGAAAAAAAAAAGAATTGAAATGGCAGATTTTATCAGAAAAATATGAAATAAGTTAAGGATTATGAACTGATTTTTTAAGTACACTAAAAATAAAGTACATTGAAACAAAAATTTTAAATTTTAAATACAGGTGTTAAAAAAGAACATCAGTACGGTTTGTCTTGTTATCTTAGTTAACAGATGGTCCTAATATTCTAGGTTTAATTTACATACAGTTTTGAACAGTTAAGAGTTGGTGAGCATTTTTTTAAACCATATTAATAAATCAAGAACATTGTGGACAACCCTGACCATCCTCTTCATCAGACTGTCATAGAAAGACAAAGTGTCTTCAGTTGGAGGCTTCTTCAACTTCGCTGTAATACACACCGCTACAGAAGATCTTTCCTGCCCATGCCACAGCATCTACAATAAGTTTTTAGTTAAATGAGTTACAACAACACTTAATTTCCCTCTGGGATCAATAAAGTATTTTTGAATTGAATTGATTGGATTGGAATTCTGACCTCTGATTAGTGCTACTTCAAGCACGAGTTAAGTTTTTCTGTATTAGAGTTGTTTCTTCAAAGATGTTAAGCATAACCTAGCTTGTGAACAGGTAGATGCTCAATGGAGACAGCTTATTTTAAGCCTAAATATGACAGTAATTTAGAAAACATACCTGGGCAGGTGACGGCTCGGTCGGAGTAACCTGCAGACTCGAAGAGACAGATTGTCTATGTGGGACAGGTGGCAATGTGGCAGAGGCAGCCTGCACTACCTTTAAGGCCTGCTGAGGGATCTGAACCATCTGAGGTTCTGACTTGGGCTGGACCAGCTGCACCTGCTGCACCATAGCTGGCTGCCCAGGAGTCTGGACAATCAGCAAATTGTTCCCTGCCTACAAAAAAGCAAAGAGATATATTCTAGGATGACAGTATACTTCTGGCTAGTGCTGTACCAAACAAATATTTTCTACTCTATTAATCTAACGATTATTTTTTTGTTTAATCAATTATTCTAACAACAAATCTAAAAGTTATTCTGATGTGAGTGCACTGGATATTTAAAATGTTTTCATCAAATTAACAAGAACAGTTCTTTAATATCGTAATATTTTCTGTAATAG